CGCCGGTCGCCTGGGGACGGGGCTCCCGCCGAGGGGCTGGTCGGCGCTGTCCTCCGGTCGCGGCGAAGGATGAGGGCGGCTGGGGGCCGTGGGCCTCTTTTTGGTGAGGGACAGGGAGGCCGTGGCCTCTTCGAGGGGAAAGGTGTGCTGTGAGGAGCGAGTGGTGGCCCTGAGGGGGAGGAAGGCAGGTGTGAGGGGGAGAAATGGTGGCTCTGAGGGGAGAAAGGCAGGTGTGAGGGGACAATGGCGGCCCGGAGGGGAGAAAGGCAGATGTGAGGGGGAGAAAGGGTGGTGTGAGGGGAGAATGGCAGGCCAGAGGGGGGGAAGGCGGATGTGAGGGGGGGATGGCAGCCCAGAGGGGGGAAAGGCAGATGTGAGGGGAGAATGGCAGCCCTGAGGGAGGAAAGGCGGATGTGAGGGGGAGAAAGGGTGGTGTGAGGGGAGAATGGCAGCCCAGAGGGGGGAAAGGCAGATGTGAGGGGAGAATGGCAGCCCTGAGGGAGGAAAGGCGGATGTGAGGGGGAGAAAGGGTGGTGTGAGGGGAGAATGGCAGCCCAGAGGGGGGAAAGGCAGATGTGAGGGGAGAATGGCAGCCCTGAGGGAGGAAAGGCGGATGTGAGGGGGAGAAAGGGTGGTGTGAGGGGAGAATGGCAGCCCAGAGGGGGGAAAGGCAGATGTGAGGGGGAGAAAGGGTGGTGTGAGGGGAGAATGGCAGCCCAGAGGGGGGAAAGGCAGATGTGAGGGGGAGAAAGGGTGGTGTGAGGGGAGAATGGCAGCCCAGAGGGGGGAAAGGCAGATGTGAGGGGGAGAAAGGGTGGTGTGAGGGGAGAATGGCAGCCCAGAGGGGGGAAAGGCAGATGTGAGGGGAGAATGGCAGCCCTGAGGGAGGAAAGGCGGATGTGAGGGGGAGAAAGGGTGGTGTGAGGGGAGAATGGCAGCCCAGAGGGGGGAAAGGCAGATGTGAGGGGGAGAAAGGGTGGTGTGAGGGGAGAATGGCAGCCCAGAGGGGGGAAAGGCAGATGTGAGGGGGAGAAAGGGTGGTGTGAGGGGAGAATGGCAGCCCAGAGGGGGGAAAGGCAGATGTGAGGGGGAGAAAGGGTGGTGTGAGGGGAGAATGGCAGCCCAGAGGGGGGAAAGGCAGATGTGAGGGGAGAATGGCAGCCCTGAGGGAGGAAAGGCGGATGTGAGGGGGAGAAAGGGTGGTGTGAGGGGAGAATGGCAGCCCAGAGGGGGGAAAGGCAGATGTGAGGGGGAGAAAGGGTGGTGTGAGGGGAGAATGGCAGCCCAGAGGGGGGAAAGGCAGATGTGAGGGGGAGAAAGGGTGGTGTGAGGGGAGAATGGCAGCCCAGAGGGGGGAAAGGCAGATGTGAGGGGGAGAAAGGGTGGTGTGAGGGGAGAATGGCAGCCCAGAGGGGGGAAAGGCAGATGTGAGGGGAGAATGGCAGCCCTGAGGGAGGAAAGGCGGATGTGAGGGGGAGAAAGGGTGGTGTGAGGGGAGAATGGCAGCCCAGAGGGGGGAAAGGCAGATGTGAGGGGGAGAAAGGGTGGTGTGAGGGGAGAATGGCAGCCCAGAGGGGGGAAAGGCAGATGTGAGGGGGAGAAAGGGTGGTGTGAGGGGAGAATGGCAGCCCAGAGGGGGGAAAGGCAGATGTGAGGGGGAGAAAGGGTGGTGTGAGGGGAGAATGGCAGCCCAGAGGGGGGAAGAAGAGATGCCACTATAAATTCACACCGCTGCTAATGGCCTTAAATACTCCAGTGATAAAAGTTCCCTCCTTCTGTTCTGTTTGTTTTGCCCTTTGACTAAGGAGGGCCATGTCTCCTTGCAAACCAATCGCGTTGTGTGTGAAAGAGCGCTTACCCTGCAATCTTTGTGTACCTAAGTTCTAGATCAGAGGGACCCAGAAACGAACTCAAAACTAATTGCAGGTTGAAGAAACCTCAGCGGAAGAAATACGGTCTTCTTTCAAACTATGATGAAAACATAGAGATGGCTTCGTTTGACAGCGATGAGGACACAGTGTTTGAGACAAGAAATCTGAAGCGGTAAGTGGATGTTTCGTAAACTTATCCTTTCCTCAAAGTGGGTAAGTCTCCTTCTCTAAAGAGGTGGAAGCTTTGGGACAGGTCCCACAATCGGATCTGCATGACTTGAACTTTTCTGTGTGTTGTCTTTCTGTGTTAGCACGCAGACTTACCTCACTTCCCTTCAATTTCTGACCAAGCACACTAGAAGGGACCTACCCCAGTGTTGCAGACGGCTGGTGTTTGAAGCACCGCTCTCATGCTTAACAAGCCAGTAGGAGGGATAGGTGTCCCACATGGCCCAGGCTAAGGCTCTCCGCCTTAGGGAGGAAAACAAAAACTTATATTTCTCAAGTGGAGGAATTGCTCGCAAGTTGAATCACAACTAGAATTCGTGGTCCCAGTGGGACACACATTGATGCTGTTGTGGTGGTGTCCTGTGAGTCTGTGGATCATGCAAGTTTGATTTCTTTGGAGGGTCTTTTTTTTAAGGCTGAGGAGAAATGTGTACCTAGGCACAGCTTACTTCCTGGCCTCTCAGCTCCCCCAGCAGTTTTGAGGTTGATAGTGATCTGTCAAATTGTAAATGCTCATTCTGGTGCTGGGTGTCTTCTCTTTTCCAGATGATTTGGGACCAGTGGCTTCAGCTGCACAGACTGACCAAGGAGGTGCAAATCCACCAGTGGAATCACCTTACCAATCCTCGGGTTTTATTTTTTTTCTAATTGCTTATAATGAGTACTAATTAACAGCACAAAAACTTATGTGGCTGGGGCAGGGGGAAGGGGACCAAACCTATTTCCTTCACACGTTTTGTTGGGAAAGGTGGAGTTGCAAACTAAATGATGCTGCACTGAGTGTTGTTAACTGCACAGGGAGATGCTTGCTAATGAAAATGTGGCTCCTGGATGAGTACTCGGCATTTGAAAATTTCTGTCTCTGGATTCAAGTATTGCAGCTACGTCTGCTGGCCTATAAATCTTACCAGTATTTTATATGTGCTCATATCCCTCTCTCCACTGACTGCAGCAGACAGCTTAAAGTATCAGGCAAGTGGATTCCTTTTGGAGGCGGATCCTGTTTCCTTCATGCCGTATTGGGTTACTTCTTTAGTAAATGTCCTTGGAATCAACTCGGCTTCTGCTGAGCTGGGAGAGCTCTTGTTATCTGTTACAATAGCGGTGGATGTGGGTAGTGTTGCTTAGTTCAGGCAGACAGAGAATAGCTTGGGGAAGGAGCAGTGAGTTAAATGCGTCAATGTTCTTGTAGTTACAGGGTTAGTAGTTATACATGATGATAATACAGGTCAGTACTTGGGTTTAGAGAGCAAAGACATGTTTACAAGTCCAAGGTGCCAGTGGGCTCAAAGGAGCACTTCTTTGAAGGAGCGTCAGTTTGTGTAGGCTGTAGGGTTGCAAGTGTTCAGACTGTTCTTCCCCGTTGCAAGCCGGAGTGCCTGCAGTGGCACGTTCACTAGAGAAATGTGTGCCATCTACCAAACTTCTGGATTTTGAGCTGCTGGCTCTGTCCGAGATCACCTGAGGAAGAGCCAGACTGCTGTGGTGGTCTGAGCTGGCGAATCTTGCTTCTGGTGTGATGAATGACTTGTCTTTGAATAACTGTCATCTGGAAAAGGAGAACCAGAGAAAGCATTAACGCCAGACCCTTATGGACTGTGATTCTTAAACTGAGACAGCCCCGGCTCAGAAAAAATCTGTTCATGAAGGGGCCTGGAGTTTCACTCTATTTGCTGGTGCTTGAATTATGTCTCACTGTCAGCCCAGCAAGCTAGGACGTTCCTTAGTTGGACGTTTGGGTTGATATTTGGGTTTTTACAATGTAGAACCAAACGTGAATGGGTGCAGAAAATCTCTTTCCTAATGTCATTGTTAGGTATGGACCTACTGCTAAGCTGGTGGAAACTGCTCTCAAAGTGCTCCTGTTTACAGCATGTTTCAGCCATGAAAGGAGGGCCATTCCTTGAAAGCTACAGGCACTGCAAACCTGTATCCCTAAGTCCCACTTCACCCGAAATTGGTAGTGCCTTTGTTATGAGAACCCAAGGGAAGTTACCCTGCGGGCCAGGAAGTTCCCTGTTGAAGAGGCGCAGCTTTAAGGCTATGGACCTTATCTTTAAAGTGAAGGTTGGGAATAACTTGGAGTAATGTTTCTTTTGGTTAACAAATCCTTTCTGGATAAGGGGACAAAACTGACATTTAACAAAAAGGGCATAGGGGGAAGGAATATCCTTGTCAAGTAGCAATGACAAATGGATTTGCAGCCAGTCACCCGTGAGCTCAGGGTCTAGCTGCCGCTCTGAAATCCCTCCTGAGGCAGGAAATGCAGTGCTGTGTTCCTGGTGCTCACCCATGCAAGGGGCAGCATTTCTCAGTGGAGAGTTGGTGAGGTTTCCTGGAGGGATGTCACCCCAGATGCTGTGAGCTCTTTGGCTTGCACGCGTGTAGAAGATTTTAAAAATAAATATATTTTTAGTAACGTTGTCATGTGAATACACCACTTGAATGTGCCCTAATTTCATATAATTTCTATCCTTTCATGCCTACTTCAGATACTTTCTGCTTGTTTAGCTGATGCAGAGATAAAAAGATTTGCTCCATTCCTCTATGAGGAGAGCAGTAATGGCTAAATCTGGCTGCTGCTGCCCCTTGGGTGATCAGAGAGCTGATTTGTTTGATTCAGTGGTGTCTAGCCTCCTTGCAGGTGCAGGTCATGTGCATGTGCTGATACTTTTCTTAGCTCTTCAACTCCCTTTGCAAACTTGTTTCTCTAAAGCATTGTACGCAAGCCAGGTGAGTCTGGCTGTATTTCAGTCTACTCACATGTTCTGGCTCAGCCTTCTGACTGACGCATTCATTGGCTTTTCTTTAGTTGAGGTGATTTACTTTATCATTCTTTAGGTGTTTCTCTTCATTGGACGAATGGGTTTTACAGTCTTTAAGTTTTCTCACCTTGCAGGAATGAATGGTTCCAAGAACATTTTTAATATTAACAGTTGAATGATTTTGATCAAAGAGGGGATCTCAAACTGTAGGTCTTATCATGAAAATAATTTAGACGGCACTTGATTTTGCTGTAGTAGGTGCTTAGAATTGGAGGAGGGAAAGATGCGGATACAGCTAAAACTTGTAACGAGGCCCCTGTTCTGGTACTAAGTAGGCAAAAGTTAATTAATTTGAAGATTACCCAGGAGTGTGCCAGCCCAATATCTATGCGCCACATACATACACAAAGACCCAGAGGTCTTTGAGCTGGTCCTCTTTAAAGGAGAGAATTTCATCCTATGGCGAATCAAATGATGATTCTGAGACTGTAACGTAGTATTGTTGCCACTTTTAATCTGATCCTGTTTTGGCTAGAGACAGGTTTGAGCCATAGTCAGTGACCCTGTGTGGCTCTTCTTTTTCCTCTGAACCATCCTGCGTGTTAGGAGGAGTCTGTAGTCTGTGTTTGCTCTTTGTAGACCAAGACTTGACGTTCCTGCTCCGTTGGACTTCTGGTTGTTCTAAATCGTTGTTAGTGCGTTTTGTGAGAGGAGAAAACAAAGATGCTAATAATAGAGATCTGAGACTCCTTCGAGTACAAATCTATTGCTCAGTACACCTTTTACCAATCTCATTTCTCCTGAAAGAAGAATGTAAATTGAAACTAGAGTAGCAGCCCGTCCTCAAAGAGGTGGAGCACTGTACCCACGGGCAATCAGCGTGAAGCCAGTATAGGCTTTTAGGGGAGAATCTTGCTAATAATAGTGGCTTTTAAAGCCTTGCATTGTATTTTCCTAATATGAGAGCAGTTCAGTAGGTTATTTCAATTACAATTTTTGTTACTTCAGGTGTATTTAGTTTCCATGTTAACAGCCTAGTAGGTCTCTTCGAAACAGAGCTTGTAATAGTTTTTTAGAATATATTTAGATCTACAGATGCTTGTGAACCCTAAGCCAGCTGCATGAGACACAGCTCTGGTCTGGAAGCTGCACAGCTGCATTGATGCAGTGCTGTGCTTGTATGCATACATGCTGCTCGGAGGAACGCGTGTCGGTGTTTGGGCAGGCTTACACCTCACAAGCTGCTGCTGCGCTTTCTTTTTTCTGGAATGAATCAGGGTGTTAGTGGGAGGCACTGTGGACCCTCGCTGCTGCCTTTTACTGTTGGCCTGCCCCCAGCGCTCCTGCCAGTCCTTGCCAAAAGCCTGACTTGGCCAAAGGCTGTCAGAGCTGATGCGAGCAAGGGGTGCTGAGGACCAAGACTGGAGTACGCAGTTCCCTACGATGCTGCACAGTCACCAACCTATGTGTGTCACAAGTGACTGCTATGGAGCCTGCTTGAAACAATCACTATTGTTTAAGCCAAAGCCTAACTTTAAAAGTTTACATAATTGCCTCTCTGATCTTCTTGGAGGGCTGTATCGAATCCTCCACTGTTGATATTGAACTACTAGGCAAATCGACGGGACCGTGTGCTGAGGTTAATGAGATTGACGGAGAGTGATATGAGCATCAGCTCTCTATTGTTAATAACATACTTCTGTTTTGTTTAATTTGTACATGTGACTTGAATGGGAGCCGCAGCATTAAAGTGCTGGGAGATGGACTTGTGGTCTGAACAGATTGCCAAGAAGTCAATAAAACAGCACTTGAGTGCATTGTGTTATTGTCTGTGCTTTCAGAAATGGAGGAGCTAGTCTTTCACTCTCCTGCTCGGATCGTTGATTTATTTTTAAATGGCAACCAGTCCTGTATTGATTGATTGTTTTACTTTCCTTTTGTTTACAGCATCCACCTCCATTGTATCTTCAAACAAATAAAATAAAACATTCCATTTCACCAGATTCCGTCATTGTAATGTGCCTGGCAGCCAGCATTTGGGATTATTCTGCGGGGCTGCCTCGCATGCTGATCTGGTCTGGATGGAGCCTTTCTTTGCTCAGCCGCCCTGACTGAGCATTGTCTTGCTTTCTGCTTGGCAATAACTTATGCTATCAGCCCTTTTCATTTGCTGGACCCACACTTTTCTCCTTACATGTTTGCCTAGTGCTCCCCTTCGATGATTATCTCCGTGTTTGTTTCAAGTGTCTAAAGTCTCTTCCCCTTCATGTTCCCCCTTCTTACCTTAAGCCCTTTCCCCATATTAGCATATTAGAGGGACCTTGTGGGTCACCAGTTGGTCTCCGTCAGGGACAGCCATGTCATATTTTCCTTTCTGAATGTATTGAACACAGAAGTAGCTACAGAGAGACAACCTTACCGCTAGGGAAAGGCTGCTCCAGAGCCACATGCTTTTTGCAGCCAGGAGCTGGCTTCTGACTTCCAGTGTTGCTTCCTCTTTCCTTCTGGGCTCTTGTGCATCCCGGTGCCCTGTGTCTCTGCCCCCTTACAACCTTTTGCAGAAGCGAGGCTTCCCCGACCTTCATCTCCTACAAGAATAAGGCAGCTCAATTCTCTGACGGCCTTTATTTTGGAGGTGGGTTACAGCCTGCTCCTGTTCATTCCTTGTTAACAGAAGACTAAGTAAAATCCCAGTGGGGCTGATCCCTGCCTCTCCAGAACAAATAACTTAAGTTCTGTATTTGTTATTGCTTTGGGAGGTAGCAGGGAGGGGCTGTCCCACGGAGAGGGATGGTAAACAGTGATGTCCTAGCTCCTCAATGCAAAGAATTAAAATTGTAATAAAATTAAGGGAGTTCCCTGGTATTAACATCTGCTTTTCATCCATCTAACAAAGGAGGGTGGTTGTACAGATTCCGGTCATGTAGATTGGTGGCACTGAAGAAAAAAAGGCAAGTTCCCCGTGGCCCGCTCTGTTGGTCATGTCCCCACGCGCTCCTCACTGCGCTGCAAGCAGGGGGCTGCGCTCTAGCCCTCCTGCATGGTGCAGCTGAGGGTGGGAAGGGGTTTTCTTTTGCTTCATGGTTTAACCTTACTTGTTATTCGTTACTAGGATCTTTTGAGCTGCTGTGCAGTGTGTGGTAAGGGCAGCTGGTGTTAAGCCTGAGAGTGTAGCTCCTGAGCAGGGTAACCCTGTAGATGGCACTAACAGACCAAACATGGCTGCTAATGGGGCACTGGCAGGAGCCTGCTGCATGCTGGTGAAGCTGAAAATAAATCCTGGTGCCTTAAAAAGGCAAGCCTTCCTTCAAGCAGCTTTCTGAAATTCAGATGGGAGCGCCTCCTCAGGGGAGGTGTCCCTTGGCTGTGCGGGGGGGAGAGCAGAAGGTTTCAGGGCCACCTTTTGCGAGCTGTTAGCCTGGAGAAGGCAGCCTCTCCCAGTGGTGGGTGGTGCTCTAGTCCCTGGCTTTATCTGAGCCGGATTTCATAAGAGTCGTGTTAGTACTTGTTTGCAAGGGCTTTTTAATGATTCTGGGACAGACAAACTTTTAAGATACCCTAATTTGACTGAATTAAGCTGTAGGCTCCCTGCTTGCGTGGGAGCTTATTGCCACAAGGGAGAGGCTTGTCTGTGCAGGATGCAGAGTTGTCTTGGGCTGGTCCGAGGCTTGGCATAAACCCCAGCAGGACTAAAGCCCATCCCCAGATTTGCTCCCTTCCACTTCAAGTTGTGTTTCCCAGTTAGCACGCCTCTGGTAAGAGCAGCACAGCGTAGCACAGACATGTGGAACCCAGCAGAGCCCTTTGGTGCACCCATGGCTTTCCCCGAGGAGAGTGCTGTGCTGAAATTAGCTATGGTGCTTAATGAGCTCATGGAGAGCGTTCACTGTGGCAGTGTACGGGCATCCTGCTTTTCAACCCTGGCTTGTGTGGGATGCCGGGGAAGGGCTAGAAGGGGATGAAATCCTAATGCTCATTCTTTTTGCAGGTTCAGGGGCCAGGAATCCCCCTTAGCCCCCAAGGGCTATGGCCTATGGGCTCTGGATGAGCTGCAGGTGTGTTGTCCTCCATGCCGTTTTCTGGCCCTGATCTGTCTGTCGCTGTGCTGAAAAGCCTGAGCTATCACCTTGGCTGAGGAGAGGCTCTTGTTCTGCTCCCTGGCTGGGGAGAAGTTGGGTCTGACTGTGGCTAGGATTCCAGTCACAAACACCAGTTGGCGGTGTGTATCTGCTCTGAATTTATTTTAAACTCAAGTTAAAATGTTCTTGATGCTTTGGATGCAAATTCCTTTCCTTGAAATGGGAACTGCAGGCCATTTGCTGAATGGTGGTAAGCTCTTTTGATATCGCTAGTCTGTTCACTGCTAAAACGTTGTAACTTGCAGCCGTGCTACGTGGAGTGCAAAATAACCTTTGCAGCAGTATTCTGTGGAAGGAACTGCTTCTCAGCTTTCTGTTGGCGTAGAAAAGCACTTTTCTTGCTATTTGGAATTCAAACCTGTGGGGTTTTTTTGTTTGTTTTGTTTTGTTTTTCCTAATGGTTCATGTGTAAGGTCAGGGTCTGTCAAGGGGGATGTATGGACAATAGTTTGTGTGTGAGGTTTTTCCATCCGCTGTATAGAAGAATAAATGTTGTATGCCCCTCCAGTCACCTAGGGAGGAAAAAAAGAGTCATAATATTTAACTGCGTACAAAGGATGTTTCATTTATGGACTTCAGAGTCCTTCCTCAAGGCAGTGAATACCTCTAGCATCATGAAGAAACTTAATTGTAACAGGTGGAATGATCTGTATTGGCAGATCTCTGCTTTCTAGGCTGTGAACCTTCCAGCACGCTGTCTGTTAGAGCCTCACCCTGAGCATGCTGGGCTCTTGGTCCCTTTTTGTGAAGGGAAACAGTATGGATTGAATGTTGTATTCTGCTTCTTAATGCTTATGTGGCTTTAGGTAGATCACCTGTGCTTTAGATTTCACATTTGTAAAATAAGTAGAAAATGAGGATTCTTCTTCAAGGCTGACTTGCAAAGTGTTTGAAATATTGAACTGAAAGTGCTAAGGGATTAGCAGGATTCAGTGTTAAGCAGCAAGAGGCAGCCCTTAAAAATGAACAGGAAATGAGTGTATTCATGTTAAGAGGTTACAAGCGTTTTGTTCAATTTATTGCTAATACACTTGCTTCATGCTGAATAGCTCTAGTAACTTTTAAGGTGACCGGTGCTTCCTGGAAGGGGAATGTTCGCACAAAAAATGTTAACTGCAGTCACAATTTTGCTCCTGCAGGTTTTCCAAGCATCTATTAACATCCCCCCAGCAGGTTTCGGAGGCTTTTTGCAGGGACCATTTGGGGTAGTTTTACCCACCAAATGCTACAAACAACATGGTAGACTTCTGTTGCAGTGTACTGTGGGTACTGAAGCTACTCTGAAATTGTGTCTCTGTGTTTATCTTATAACCCTGACTGCACACTGTGAAGATAGCTGGAAGTATTTGAAAACCTGCTGTAGATTCTCCTCTGATGTCTCTTCTGTTCCCCTCAACAAAGCCCTTCTATACAACTAGCAAGATTATTCTGTATAAAAAATTAGCTTTACTTAGTTGGCTTTTTGTCTAAGTCCTCCTTCTGATCTTTATTTTTTCCCTTACATGATGGAAAGGTGAATGGAAGTGGCACTTCATCCACAAAAGACTTTCCTTTAGAAATGTTGGTTGCTTTTGTTTTAAAATTTTTTTAAAGGGGGCTTTGCAGGGGAGAGTGGAGAAGTGTTTTCTTTTTAAGGTGCACTGGGGAATAAAAGTATAAAAGAAAGAAATGATCATAACTGTACTGGCAACTGAACATTTTTTTTTTTTGAGTACCAGAGCTAATTGAAGAAGGAATTCACGCAACAATTTTTGCAATCTAAGGGTGAGTAAACATTAAAGGGGATACTGCACTTCTGATGCATGCTAATATGCGTGCACACATAGTAGGGAGAAAATGTCCCTAAAATTAAACTTGAGATGAATGTCTCAGATGTTACACTTCAGGATTTTCTTCCTTACGTTGCCAGATCAAAGACACTAGCTAAAGCCCATGTCCAAGAATACCTGTTGAGAAGATAAGACTTCAATGCACCTAATAGATGAAATCACTACAAAACAAGAATGTCGATTCCAGTTCGGTGGAAGTACTTCCATGGGCTTCGGGATTCCTCGGGGTCTGTATGGATCTCGTTTGCTTCAGCAGGGTTTCTTATGGGTTCCAAGAGTCCTCTGCCCACATAGAGGTACTTGCAGAGGATTACCAGTCGTTTTAATTAACATAGTTGTCCAAGGGTTTGGGCACAAAAACAAATTGGGAGGGTAGCATGTGAGAGCACATCACCTGATTCCCAGTAACTGCGTGTTCACCCTTTGGCTCCTGAGGGTGAGGTGGTTTCTATCGTCACTTCCAATGCCAGCAAATTGAACCCATCACACTTGCATGTGAACAGTAATCGCACATCAGCTGATGCCTCCTAGCTCACTTGCCTGCTCGAACCTTCTGCTGATTACATTACATTTCTGTGCTGGACATGCTTCATAAGCTAGCCGCAAACCAAAGCAACTATTGTTGTTGGCACTTAAGCATTCTTTTGCTCTCTTTGCAATCAGAATAACCCAGCCGTCTGCCGGTTAATAACAGCCGGGAAATGGAAGTGTCTAGATTTGCAGGTTTTGCAGCTAGAAGAGACCATTATGTTCATCTTGTTCAACCTCCCACTGAGCACCGGCTGGTGTGTCTTTTTTCTGTGGTGAAACTAGAAGGTTTCTTTTAGAAAGAACGCCAGCCTTCGCTTAAAACAACTAAATGATGGAGCATTTACTGCATTTCTGATATGTTCCTAATATGTTCCGGTGGTTAATTGCTTTCACTGTTTTAAAGGGAAAAAAAACCTTATGTAGTTAAAATGAGCCTGATTGTTTCATTGCTCAATCTGAGCAGAGTGCACGCTACCCGCTCCCTTTAGCAAAAGGTGGTGTAAA